TAGAGTAGTTGTAGGATCTTCTGTAAGTTGTAAATCTGTTATTTGGTGTAATGTTGTTGTCTTTTTTCCATTGTGCTAATTTAGTAGCATATGGTTTCTATATATGATCATATATTTTTTGTGATATTTTGATAAGCAGTTTGGTAGTTATTGAAGTTGCAGTTTGATGAGATATGGTATAAGGTCTAATTGTGGTAATTAGATCTGTTGGCACATATCCTTGTAGTATTGTATATATGTTGCTTTGTCCTTAATAAGCATTGTTGACTGATAGGCTGTTATGTTGAGTTAGTAAATAGTTTAGTTGTTGTTGTTGTAATTGTGTAATGTTTAGTAGTGAATTATTATTAATGGTTTCAAAAATTGTTTCTGTAATAATACTAGTAAGATTTGTTGGGTTAGGGCAAAGTAGCCAATGCAGTTGGTGTTCTGATGCTTGGCAAGTAGTGCAGTTGTTGTACTGAAAGCTATCTGGGTATAGTTTATGAAGGTGGTGTAGTGTTGGTAGAATATTAAGTAGTGTTTTGATCTTGAATGATTTGCTTTGATTGAGTAAGAAATTGGTATAGTTATTTGTTTGTTTAGTATTGTTATTAAGATATAACCATGTTGCATTCCAATTAATTTGTGATAACAGTAGAATAATGTTGCTCATGTGATGTTGTGATGACCACATGGCAATTATATGTGCATTGCAGATGTTTTTAATAGCTTGTCTAGTCAGTTGTTCAATTGTGTATTTTCTATATTTTAGAGTAATGACAAAAATTATAATTTGTTATATATTACAATACTATTATAAAATAAAATATTGTATGATTATTGAATATGAAGCAGCCAATAACAGAATTTATTTGAAAAATAATTTATTATTTGACTATTATATTTAATATATTAGCTTTTAGGCTCTGAAAAGGTTTTAAAATAATGTATATTAAATTCACTGCCAGATAAACAAGTTATTAGCTAGGTAGCATTTAATAACAGTATTATCTGGTATTTTACAATAATCATATTAACAGAATAACTCAAGTTCTTTTAGTGATAATTGCATTATTATCAAATAACAGAGCTATAATAATGATACAATCATCATTAGTACAATTATAGTAAGGTACTGGATAAAAAATTTTATTTTTAGAGAGTTAGTACAATTAATTTGTAATAAAAAAATTTATATAATATAAAATTAAATAAAACCAATTTTAAAAATAATTCAAGGTTATACAAAAAACATATAATAAAAAAAATTTAAAAGTATAAAAAATTTTGTAAAAGAACTATAAAAGAGTTAAAGTTAATTTTTGTTATAATTTTATTAATTTTAAAACTACAGACTTCTTTTTAGATTTGTTTTAATTAGAAGGATATGTTTTATAACTTTTATTAAAACAGTATAATAGATTAAAAAGTTGATTAATAAAAAATAATTATAAGTTTGTTTATAAAACCCAAAGACTATTTTAGTAATATTAAACTGTAAGTTTGAAAGTTAAAATCTTATAACTTTCATGTATATGTAAAATTGTAAGCTGAATAATTTATTTAAAACACCAGAGTTGATTATCTTAATAAAATAATCAGATATTAATAATTTTGTTATTGAAAAATTTTTAATCATTTTTGTATAAAAGGATTTATAAAAAAAAGTTTCTTAATTATTTTTGCTTCTTTTTTTTTATAACACATTTATATATATATATATATATATATATTTTTTGCTTTCACTAAGACCATTAGTTATTGATGACTACTGCCTTTATTGTGAATTCAATTATGATTACATAACTTGTACAAGGTTACTCTTATACTACACTAGCAGATAGTGCACTAAGCTCCTGTACACCTAATTAGATGTTGTCTAACCTAACCTTAACCTCTCTGTCTGTATATCTGTTATATCACCTGACTATAGAACTCCAGAAGGCCCTTCTGCTAACTAACTACCCACATTTAATTTTGCTAACAGGGCTCACTCTTGTAAAGTTCATCCAAACCCTAGTACTGACTTCACAACATATCCCTAGTACTTATAGTATACCTTGTTTCTGAACCAGACTCCTAATCCAGATAGCCTAATAGGACTGTAACTTATTTTTGGTACCTCAGGGTCTGCCTTCCAAGGTCCTTTTCCTCTGGTTCAAAACTTCCGATAGCCTGGTTGGTAGTACCTCTTATCTAAGATTCTTGTCTGTCCGATTTCTTCCACATTAATATCTGTTTCCTAGGTCTAGTCTTTACAGTAGTACTGTCAAAGATCCATGTTATCTCTTTACTCAGGTCTTCCCAAGTGGGTTCAGTTTTCCTAGTTCACAGATTTATATGATTATGAGAACTTATCTTGGGTTTGCACCACCTAATGCCAATTAGCATTCCTCTGTATAAATCCAACATTGCACAGATGCTCTATAACCTGCCAGTTATCTGGTGCAACCATATTACAGGTACTGATCCCAACTGATCAACAGATTGTCATTGCTATAGTACCAGTTTCAAGGACTTATCTTGTGTTTGCACTGTTCAATGCCGGTTTGCATTCTTCTGTATAACTTTAGCATTGCACAGATGCCTGTATACACTGATGTAACATAGGTGGTTTTTCAAATTTTCACCATCAGTGGAATTTGAACTCCCAACCTACCACTTGGGGGGTTGACAACTTATCCACTTCACTAAGTCGCCACACCTCTTTTATATATTTTCTATATTGTTTTTAGAGTTATTACTAATTTTTTATTTTTTCTAAATTTGTAAAAAAAAATTAGTAAAAAGAGTTGATTTATTTTTAAATCTAAACTATTTTATTATCAATAGTAATACAAATTTATTATAAAGATTGAATTTGAATTTATGCTGTTTTATTGCTTATAGTAATATTAATTTAGTATTATTAAGATTAATATTAACTTAACTTAAGCTTTAATTTTAAAATTTTTTCATTAAAATATTTGATATTATATTAATGTTGGTTATAACTTCTTAATGTTGTTAATGTAAGTATTTAAAATATGTATATTTAATTTAATGCAAAATTAATAAAATAATGTAAAATAATTATACTAAAACTATAAAAAAATTATAAGGTTTTTGTTTTTATATACTAATATAAATTAACTAAGTATTAATGATACAGTATAGAATAATAATAGAAAAACTATAAGAAACCTATTAAATAACTACAAAACAACATGAAATTTTATGTTTATATACTAATATAAATTAATTAAAAATTAATGAAATAACTACAGAAACTCTGCAAGATAACTACAAGAGTTTGTTTTTTTATATACAAATATAAATTAACAAAGAATTACAAAAAACAGTGAATAACCTATAGACAACTACTACCATTCTTTTAATACATATTTTGAAACAGACAATCAATTCGCAGGCATAACATTTTACCGAAAAAAATCGCTATGTTTTATTTAGACGACACTTGTTTCAACAAGTTCATTTCACTGACAGCTTATTTACCGAAGCTCATTTCAAAGACAAATTTTTTTTTATAAATTACATTAATATTGACTCTAATTCCAACCTGACTCTAATGTCAAAAGGCAGAATTATTTTATTGATGAAATGAGCTTTGTGAAATAAACTGTCGGTAAAATGAACTTGTCGGTTAAATAAGTGTCGGTGAAATAAAACATGTCGCCAAAGTGTTTTCGGCAAAAATGTTATGTGAGTGCTACCAACAGGGGATCTACCTTATTTCACCGACAATCATTTCGTAGGCACAACACTTCACCGACAATCAATTCACCTCACCGACACTAATTCACCGACAATTAATTCACCGACATGTTCACTTCACCGACAATCAATTCACCAAAAAGTTTATAGCTTGCACTAACCATAACATAATTCTGGTATAATTACTTTGTCGGTGAATTGATTGTCGGTGAATTGACTGTCGGTTAATTGAGCGTCGGTGAATTAAGTGTCAGTCAAATGAACATTTCGGTGAAGTGAAGTGTGTGCCTACGAAATGAAACAAGTGGGACCGCATGAAGTTCTTGCACTGCCTACGACAGCAATAGAGCCTAATTACAACACGAGATCTTTGCATTTCTATCCTGGCCATGGAGCCTACTCACGAGATGAGGTTCTTGTACTTCTACCATAGTTGCGGAGCTTAATCACCAAACATAAAGTTTTTGCACTGCCTGCGATAGCCAGGTTTTTTAGCAATAGATACCGATAATACTTATTTTTCCGCTTAATGATCACTTCCGACCGTTGTCATGTGATTAAATCTGTATGCAATAAATAATAGAATGTAATAATCAAATAAGATATAATTATAAGTCATTATTACTACTAAAATTACTTTGTCCATCTATGGACTACAATGATGTTTGATTTAAAATAAGCGATAATTAAAAGGCATTAAGTATCAAGTGAGTGAAAAACTCCTAATGGACCTTTTTTTAATTGCTAATATATTTTTGGTCACAACTTAATATAAATACCTCTAATTGTAGATATAATAAATAATAATAAATTTGTTATTAACAATAATAATAAATTTGTTATTAACAATAATAAATTTGTTATTAACAGAAATAGATCATTCACCCATCTAGTATATTTTTTTAATCTATTATATAATGCACTAACATGATACAATATATTACACTCATTACTAACTCTTTCAAGCGCCTAGTTAGGCTTTTAATCAATCTTATGCTATCTACGATCACATCTTAGCAAAAATAATAATAATGGAGGTTTATACAAAGGATAGTTTTAAGACAGTCGTAACTTTTTTAAAAAATCTAGATTAGCGGGATCGAACATTTAGGGTGTTTATTTTCACAATACAATAACAATGTGCTAAATTTTATGTTTTCTGTGTAATAATAACAGATTCTAGAGGTTACATATTCAACCGTTTTGACGCTGATGACCCGTTTTACTATAACCCAATTCTAAACTCTAATATAAAGGTATCGGTGTAAAAATTTCAGCACCTTTTATGCGTTCGTTCCTCTTTTTTAACACCTCATAAAATGTATTTGTATTTTTCTAGTTCTAGCTTTCCACGATAAGATAATTTTTATCGCCTTTATAATTTTAGAGAAACCTTCTACAGTCCTTGGTATCTCAATGCCTTGCAAATTAACTGTTACAATCGTGTTTTCAAATAGATATTTCGAAACAGCAATTGTTAGTTGAAACCCATTAGATCTTAGACTATAAGTTCCTATTACACTGATCCTATGTTTTACGCTAGTGGGAAGTGCGAGATATACAGTTAAAATCATCTTTGAGCAATATTATACATCAGTTCCTAAAGGAGGTCAAACCGCTAAAATTGGTCCAGTGGTTGTTGAGATATAGTTGGTTAAAGTTTGCATAACGATAGTCGGAATGTTTCTCCAAGAGGGTTTTCATGCAAATTCTTTGCAGATCAGTTACATTGTCGAAATTATCTAAATATTGTGACACTTCTTCCCCACAATTAATGTAAAGCTTGTCGATCGTTTTTCCACTAGAAAAGTCAACGAACGTTAGTTCGGGGTCTTGCATTTGTTCTGCAATGTTTTTTTTGAAGCC